TGCATTTTTTTCATGATCCGATTAACGATAGCCGAATAGCGGCCATTTTAAGGCCGAAAATGCATCAAAATCGCACATTTTTACCATTCCGAATCTCAGTTATGCATGGACGGATTTTGTTCAAATTTGGTACCCATTAAACATAATAGGACCTTGATGCACGTCATTTTTTGGGGGGGGGGGGTCGGGTTTGAAATGGCCAACTGGCGGCCATTTTGTTTTAAAGAATTCAGTTCTGGATCCATATCTGAGACATGCCTGGATTGATCGAGTTCAAACTTCACACACACAAGGTACATCATGTCACAAATTGATATGTGCATTTGTTTCATGATCCGCTTAACAATAGCTGAATGATGGCCATTTTAAGGCCCAAAATGCATCAAAATCACGTATTTTCACAATTCCGGAACCGGATCTCAGTCATGCATGGATGGATTTTGTTCAGATTTAGTGCATATAGTAAACATAATATAAGCTTGATGCATACTAATTTTTCTTCGGATCAAGTTCAAAATGACCACCTGGCGGCCATTTTGTTTTAAAGAATTTAGTTTTCAATCCATATCTCGGACATGCCAGAACAGATCAAGTTCAAACTTCACATACACATCATATCATACATATGCCTGTGCATTTGGGCCAGTCCTTTTAAGGTCAAAAATTCACAAAAATTGCACATTTTCACCATACCGGAACTGAATCTATGTCATGCGTGGGCAAATTTAGTTTAAATTTTTTTTGCATTGTGTTGAAAATGGCTGACTGGTGGCTATTTTGTTTTACTGAATGCAGTTCAAAATCCATATTGTTGCTGCTTTGAATGTATATGTCACTCAAATATGAACGGAACGGGGACAATGACTTGTTAATATTTAAATTAGCTTGTGGCAGAGACTAGTGGGACGTTCCCTGGCGACTACCTAGCTTAGTGATAAAAGACTCGTAGTCTCTGGATGGAGAATGCATGTAAAGTTTGAATGAAATCTGTCAATGAGTGTCCGAGATATAGCTCTTAATGTACGTACATACGGAACAAACCCAAATTAATAGTCCCTGTTTTTTACGAACTTCGTCCGAACGGGACTAAAAATATTTTGACCCACTAAATAGACGCCACCTTTTTATACGCCAAAGTATATTTTAAAATAATTCCATGATAATGCGTTTGAAAGCAAGTTTAGCATTTTAGATCATCTTTAGGTTTTGTCAGGATTGCTTAAATGTTGTATGAACAGTTAACAAAATTAGTTTAGCTGCCATCCAATAGGTGATTTTCCGTACAATTGCGAGATCTCGCGAGATGCATGAAAGACGCGCGTCGAACGTCTGCCGCAAAAATCGAACGATTTGATTTTGAACTAGAATTTCTTTATTTCGTAGCTTACATTGACCGGCCGATCTTCGACAGAGGAATATGCTTCCGAATACCCTTACTTAATCGAAATTGCCTATCATCAAATGTGGACAGCACACTATATAAGCATGGAAATGTCCCCAAAATACTTTCGCGTTTGACGCGACTACGACGCTATGACCTTTGTTTGTCCTGTTTTTACGTTCGATTTCACGTATAACGCGGGATTCTCGCAGTGAACGGAAAATGGTCTATGAGAGAAACATTTACCGTATATTGTCATACACACTGAATTCGACAGTAAAATAACTAGTTAAAGAGTTTATCACAAAAAACAATAGAATTTGAATTTGCCTTTATATGGGGTAAACTACGTCACTTTCTTGCACTTTCCTTTGTTTACAAAGGATGCAAAACAAATAATATCCAATTGCTTGCACAGTGCAAAACATTTTTTGTTATTTTGTGCTAATCTAAAATTGTGATATATAATAAGGTTATCACAAGAATAACTATGCACTGGGGGCAGTACGGCCTCGAATCAGTTCCTGTGACACATCAGGCTGTACTTTGCAATAATTCCATGCAACCTTTTAGCATGTATTCAAAAATGAAACGCACATGTATACATATGCATTAATCAGAAAGGAAAATACTGGATTGAATTCTAACAAGTACATAATCGACTCCTAATAGTACATCAGACTGCTTAGGTATTTTGCCACAACCCATTTTTCAAGGCATGCAAACATTTATGAACACCACCACCAGGTGGCGCTGTACATATATCAACAGTATTCGCTCAGATAAGTAATATTGAGATTGAGGGCACTGTCAAAATTTGATTCATTGAACATTAATAGGGATATGGTAGCCAGTAAAAACAAATTTCTTCAGGCTTTGCTTAATGAATAAAATGTTTGCATATTCAATATTTGTGTTCATTTAAGGTAGAGATGCAGGTTCGTGGGCACTTGGGAGTGAAATTTTTTTTTTGGCTTTTTATTATCCCAAAAGTCTTGGCTATAGACTGTTGAAATTTTGTAGAATTGTGAATAGTGGAACATACTCAAAAATCGATTTTATTTTATAGATAACAGGTGCAAAATTATCTCTTTTGAATGCATAGCAAGATTTAGCAAGGCTGGAAAAAAGAAATGACGGGATCTCCATATTATGCACTGTATTTAACTTTTTACAAAACGATAATACATTTATATTTGAAACTAACAGCCATTTTAATTATGAGCATTAGCAAACTTCTTTCAGAGTGAAATGTTATGCAAATTAGCAATTATCTCAGTTTCTTTTTAGTGCACATTCCAGAACTTTAACAAAAAATAGCTCCTAGATGCTATGACCTTTTGTTTTGAAATTTTCACAAATGATTGACAATGTGTTTATCTTCAAAACGCCGTCGGGGCATTGTTTTTTGGTTGAATAGTGTTACAGCAATGGTACAGACAACTAGCCTGGGTGTTAATTTATGCATAAACTTGAAGTAGTGAAATTTGAGCTGCTGCCCCACAAAATTGACAACTGGTGGTCAATTTTCAAGACGGTGCTTTCTTCATAGTAAATAGATGTACCCATAAACCAATTTTGACAGGAAACAGAAGCATGGTTTAGAAGCTAATTTTTTTTAAATCACTTTTGACCAAAAAAGCACATTTTTGTGCATATTTCAAATTACAGTGTCCATAAAAATAAAATACTAACAAAACTTTAAAATTCATTCAATAATCTTTCCGAAACAATATAGTTTTGTGGACAAGGGAGGTCATCTTACTTTCCTAATTAACTAATTAAAATACCTGTCAGGTAAACTGCATCTCTACCTTAAGTTTACAGAATTGAACGACAACAGGAATCAGATAACTGTCATTGTATAAAATTTTATTTATTAATTTTTATTACAGTAACTATCAAAACTAGACACTTTATATAGTATATACAATGTAAGAAAGGGTAGATGTTTTATAAAGTAGACAGATAAGAAATACACACACACCACAACAATTTAAAGTATTATGTACAATTATAAAGTGTCTTGAGTTACAAACAGTAAAATTTGATGAATCAACTATTTGAATTTGTGATATGTAGTTTTCAATTTTTAAGCATAAAATACATTTTGTATCACTTTATGTGATTTATTTTAGCTATACTAGAGTTTCAAAAAATTAAAAAACAAAACAAACAAAAATTAAATTCAACAAAACTGAACAGACGATCACACTATAAATAGAATAGATAAACTATAAACTAGTTGCTAATAAATTAATATTTCAATTTCTTGAAAATCTCTCATGATTTATGTGTAATGATTGATATGACATGAAACTGGATTGGTCAGTCTAATATTTAACAGCACGGGAACGGGAACGCAGTTTTCTTGTAACGATTGTATGAGAACTATCAACTGTTTTTTTCTCAGAAATTTGCTCAGACTGAAAGGTAAATAGAAAGCATGTCAAAACAATATGCACAAGGAAATTTTATATATAGTCTCAACATTTCCCAATTATCAACAAAACTTTGCCAGGTACCACAGCTGAAAGGGTATATGCAGAGAGTAGGAGGAAAATGTAAGTCTACATTGTATACTAGATAGAGCATGATTAGACATCTGTCATTATAAATAAATCACTAGTATTATTTACCTAAGTACAAATTGAATAGTGAAAATTACATCAACATCTATAAAATCAGTATTGACCTGTAACATGCAACTACAATTTTTGGATGCACAAAACACCTTAAAATTAAACTGACTTTTTGAAAAAGCCAAATTCTGACCATGCTGGTCAACTCTTCCACCCTCGGCTCCAGATGTGTGACGCAACAAACTCAGTGAAATGCATTCCTTATTTTATGCAAAATTACTACAATGGTAAATGAATAGAGTGCCACTATTATAGCACTCAATTTTTTCAAGAAACTGGTACTGGTAGATTAATTATAAGCCTCATCTGTATTGACAGTCCATAACATGACTGCAAATAAAGAGTGTCTCACCTCTAGAGGGCACTCCATAGGTGCTGAGATATCTGTCTTGTACAATCTTCTCTTGCCAGCTCGTTTCTTCTCTGCAACAGTCAAGGCTTTGGGAGGCAACTCTGGCTCATGTGTAGTATAACTTGCTGCCGCATCCATCAACTTCTTGGCTGGAGAGGTGGGAGGTGATGCTAGCATTTAGTAAGCATGGTGGAAGACGATACAAGGCATTAAGAAAAAGGAGACAGGAAAGATAAATCACATTAAAATGTGGATCTGATGCCAGAGTCATTGTGTGTGTGTGTGTGTGTGTTGGGCAAAATTTTGTATAATATTCAGGCATTATAGTATTAATGCCAGTTTGTTGCAGTGATTTTTACAATTACTTGTTACAATTGCCATTTGGATTCAAAATAACACAAATATTATGATTAATTACCAAGGACTACGGTAACCTACTACCATTTTCTATAATTATAAAAGGACAGATTTGAAGAATTTGTCATAAAACGAAGGAACAAATTATAGATAAGTTTGAAATGCTTAAGAAACTCAACTCGCAGATTATTAATAAAACGGATGATGGCTTGGATGAAGTGATCCTTGAAACCAATGACTGTATAGACAAGCTATTTGCCAGGAATTTTTAAATTTGCAAATTCACTGAAAGAAACAAACATGCACCATAGACCAGTTGTCAAAGTTCAAAGAGTGGAGCTACTGCTACTAAGACTGTCAGTTTACCTAAACTGGTACTTCCTACAGTTTTAACAATGCCTTTACCTCCACAGCTCATGCAGACAGTCCATGCATGACATATGTCCCACATGTACAAAAAACAATCATGCTTTCAACACTCAATTGTAATTTTACAAGACAAATTATTGTGGTCAGAATTTTTGTAACAGTGAGTTTCACAAATTTTAGTTCACAAACATCAAAACGTATTTACACCTGACGTACTGCAAGTTACTCAGCAGAACTACCGTACTTATTACAGCCGTTCTGAGAATTATTCGGACAGTCAGTTAGCAAAATGACTTGCAACTTTGCAAAACACTTTGGTCTTTGCCCAATCTAGACTTGTCGGCGCCACTTGAGTGACGGGCGCGTGGTTTGAGATTACTATTTCATAGGGGTTGTCGGCTTGGTGAATTGTAAGTATTATCTAGCGTGCGTCCACAGCAACCATTCTTTATTTTTTATAATTATAATGTAATTATTTTCAGTATTTTGAAAATCACAAGTTGGGTGTTGCTTAAATCTGTCGAAAATGTCAACCACTCGCTCATTTTAGTCAGTTTTACCTGTTACAAAAATGGACTAAATATAATAACTGTCGTTATA